ACCTTCTTTTTGAGAGATGCACAAAATGTTTCCATAAGCTCAGGTGGCGACATCTGTAATATGGTATTGTGCATGTTGGTTGTTTAAGACTGTTTTTCACAGAGTAAATTTTCTTGCTGTGTTCTATTTTTAAAAAAATTTTAGACCTGGTTTTCCAAACAGTATAATCACTTAACTCTTTAGACCCTGAGTTATTTCCACCGTTTCGCGGAGTTTTTTTCTACGGTCACCTAAACCTGGTGCACTATGTCTCAGTAGAACCCCAAAACCTTGCGTCTAACTTCTAAATGGCAGAAACAAAGGCTTAGTCATTACTAATAAATTTGGTTTGGGAATAGTTCTGAAAAACAAGCAAAAACTAGCACTAAATAAAACAAAACAGTTGTCACTGGTATCGGACGGGAGCATCCGATGGGAGCGTCCGATGAGGAACAGGGTTTTTACCAGCGTCCGATGGGGTTTAAAAAGTTTAACTCATTAGGGAGGATTATGAATGATTTGGTCTACCCCTGTAAAACATTTTGTCTAGAAACAATTATGCCTCTCTTCGCTGTTTATTTGCTTGGTGTAGAAGGTCTACATAATGTTTGAGATTTAAAATCTAATTGCACCTGTTAATCTCCCTCAAATAAATAATTGTTCCTTTTGTACTTCTGCTTTTGCTACTGTAAATTGATGTAGAATTTCATGGCAGATTGAAGCAAGTGTTTCTGAAAAGCAAAGAGAAAGTTCATGAAGTTTAGCTTGAACTTTTACACTGATATGGTGTGTCCGTTTCCACGTGTGCATGTGTAGGCCTACTATCTATTTCTTTCTTATATTTTTACCTTTAGCCTACTTGGTCAAGATTCAGAGCGATAGAAAAAGAGACATGCAAGGAACACACCCACAGATTGTAAGGGGGCAAAAAGGTCTGACATACTGTCGTTGAGAGGGAAAGAAACTTTAATTGAATTTTGTATGTAACAGTATAGATCTAGAGCATAAATTGGTCAAGCCTTGAAATAGACATCTTGGCATGTGCGAAGTATGACAAAGCAAAAAAGAAAAGTTTGTTTTCTGTTACTAAAACTGGGGGGGAGGGGGTTTAAGTGTTTTACGGCGCTCCCAGCTGCATAAGGCGCATGCGACACATTTAACATTTTAAGTTCGTAGGAAGTTTTGAATTTTGCCCGGGTGGCGGCTGAAGCCTACTCTTATCGATTTTAGACCACCAGGGGATCTTTAATGTGTGCAACTTGCTCACGCGATTTTTTGCCCTTGTCCGAGAAGGCTAGGTGTTTGAAAGACTGTAGAAAGAAGTAGCTAAGGAGAAGCAGTTGAAAGGCTGCAGAAAGAGTCAGGAGCCCAGAGGAAGGGGCAAAGGGGGTTAGGGGGTAGGGTCAGAAAGTGGAGACGAAAGAAGACGACAGAACATTGCTAGAGGGAGACAATTTTATAGAAGAAAAATTTTCAGTCGTTTCCTGGATTCAAACCCAGGACCTTTGAATGACAGGAGAACACCTTAACCTCTAGGCCACGAGAGCCCCATCTTCTTCTTTACAGATCTCAATGATTAAGTTGATCTTTGGATGAGTTGATCTGTTTTTCACTCCCCGACGACATAAACTTGCCCGTAGTCGACTGTATTTTTCTTTTCATTCTCAAACTTTGACCTAAAAATATTTTGATATAGAATAATTTATGCAATTTTTTTTCCCACTTAATCTAAACACATTTTTACAATACTAATATTAATAATTTTGAAACGAAGTATGCATTTTCTGGGCTGACAATCGAATTTGTTTTTGAAGGTCAAATATATTTGATACAGTCAGGTTGGCCTGTTAATTCCAAATAACCCTGGCAATTCCAAATCACTGTTTTGGTCCCCCAAGGAGATATATTGTTTATAGATTGTATACACATACCACTTTTGTTCACATACTTTGTCGTTTCCAATTGCAAAGTTCCTTCTAGTGTGGTTGGGTAGACAGAGGAAAATATGGTCTTTTGTAAGGATAGGCTACAATGACCTCTGATATATATCAACTGAAAAACACATTTTTTATTATGAGTCTGTTTATATTCCTAAAATGAACCAATATTCATTGAAAACATCTTATTACAATTTTTTTTTTCTCTCAGCTGGAAGGCATGCATTCCCAAATTCCTTCTGGAATAGCTGCTAATACAGTGCTGTATCAGCTCAGTTGGTAAAATTGCTGTGAGTGGCTACTGACTCGCTATGGTAGAAGTGAATTGTTTATTATGATACACCCATGCACAATGTAAGGAATGAAAAGCGGAAGTTTTTAATCATGAGGATATGGCTCACTTATTGAGAACTAGTTGGGAATTGCACTTTTAAAAAAATATTTTCTTTTTTTTTATCTTGATGTTGTGACACACAGTATCGTATTATCAGGAATGATTAAGGAAGATGTATTATTCTTGCAAGATGTCGGGAGTAAATGCATTGTTCTTTTTTATGATGTCCTGAGTGGATGGGGAAATAGTATTGTTATTGTATGATGTCCAAAGGTTATAATGTCTGAAGCTGATAGTGAAATTGTATTGTTCATATTGTGATGTTCTGAGCTGATAGTGAAATTGTATTGTTCTTGTTATGGTGTTCTGAGCTAATAGTGAAATTGTATTGTTCATATTGTTCATATCGTGATGTTCTGAGTTATAGGAAAATTGTATTGTTCTTGTTATGATGTCTGAGCTGATAGGGAAATTGTATTGTTCTTGTTATGATGTTCTGAGCTGAAAGGGAAATTGTATTGTTCTTGTTATGATGTTCTAAGCTGAAAGGGAAATTATATTGTTCTTGTTATGATGTTCTGAGCTGAAAGGGAAATTATATTGTTCTTGTTATGATGTTCTGAGCTGAAAGGGAAATTGTATTGTTCTTGTTATGATGTTCTGAGCTGAAAGGGAAATTGTATTGTTCTTGTTATGATGTTCTAAGCTGAAAGGGAAATTGTATTGTTCTTGTTATGATGTTCTGAGCTGAAAGGGAAATTGTATTGTTCTTGTTATGATGTTCTGAGCTGAAAGGGAAATTGTATTGTTCTTGTTATGATGTTCTGAGCTGAAAGGGAAATTGTATTGTTCTTGTTATGGTGCCCCAAGTGGATTTTTAAAAAGTTCACTGTTCTTGTTATGATGTCTGGAGTGAATAGAAAAGCTGTATTCTTGTTATGATATCCTGAGTAGATAAGGGAATTTTTCTGGTCTTGTTATGATGTTCTGAGTTGATGGAAACATCGTAATTGTATTGTTCTTGTCATGATGTCAGCGATGGAAGGGAAATTGTATTGTTCTTGTGTGTGTGTATGTGTGTGTGTGTGTGTGTGTGTGTGTGTGTGTGTGTGTGTGTGTGTGTGTACATGGTGAAACACCAAACCAATGTGCCAGGATCTGGACAATAAAAATGTATCTTATCTTATCTTAAGATGTCAGCGAATGAAAGGGAAATTGTATTGTTCTTGTCATGATGTCAGAGGGTGGATAGAGACACCATATTTCATTTTTCTGACAAGTATCACATGTGTGCTGCTTGGAGTGGAAGGGGTGCTGTAATTATTATTCCTGTCGACATGGCATTCATATGTGGCGTCTGGAGGGAATAGAAAAATAGCACTGGTCCTGTGGATAAGACAAACGTGCACGATGTCTAGAGGGAACAAAGGAAATTGTATTGTGACTCACATATATTACCCCCTTTGCCCCTTCCTCTGGGCTCTGGAGTGAAAAGGGCAAATGTAATTTTGCATGTGATATGACTCAAATATGTGATATCAAACGTGAATTAGAGGAATGTATTATCTTGTTTTAAGTATAACATACATTATATTATGTCATATACCTTTCAGCCACGTTTCAGCTGATGAATTACAAAGTAAGTAAATTATGTAGATAGTGCTGTTTTTCCATTGTTTGTTGCTGCTTATTCTTAGAACTACTGCCACATGTTCTAGTCTTTTATTCTTTTTTTTTGGGTCTTATTATTAATAAAGTAAATTTGTTATGAGAATAAGAATGACTTTACTGCTTTTGTTCTATTCAACAATAATGAATTATATCACTGAGAGCACTCTGACGTCTGAGTCTATTGGTTAGGCCATGGGACCCGTATTCTTGAAATTGCAGATTTGGAGGTTTGAGGCTCAGCTCAGCTCAGTTGGTGAAATTGCTGTGAGTGGCTACTGACTCGCTATGGTAGAAGTGAATTGTTTATTATGATACACCCATGCACAATGTCAGGAATGAAAAGCGGAAGTTTTTAATCATGAGGATATGGCTCACTTGTTGAGAACTAGTTGGGAATTGCACTTTAAAAAAAACACATTTTCTTTTTTTTTTATCTTGATGTTGTATCCAGGGGAAAAAGAGATTACATGAGCTTTCCCATTTAAATTGGTCTAGTGGGAGATGGATGTTAAATTCGGAGGTCCCACCTCTTAAATAACTGTATAGTACTATGTCGAGAGGGGGTTCGTGCAAATTGGGCAAGGCACGTTCTCCATATTATAGTCAGGCTCAGGCATTTAGCTTAGTCAAGATTTCAAAATTTCTGGGAGGACGCTGCAAAAAAGCAAATTCAGCGGATCAGACCCACAGCTCAACCACAGCTACAACAGCATTTATATGATTATGGAGAGGACACTTCATCCTTGTTGTGACGAGCAAGGGAAAAAACACGGGAGGTGGCAGTTTACGGGTTATAAGACATCCTTATTTGGCGAAACAGGATGTTGCCACGGGTCACCTTTGACGATGGGAGTGACTATTCAGTCACATTGATCAGCTACCGCCCGTCTCAAACTGGGCAGCCCCTAGTCAGTAAGGTGCTGATCCGCCACGTCTGTTTGCTTCTATGGGTGTATGGAGCTAGGACAAAAACCGAAAGGCAGACGTTAAATCCAGCACCAGGCAAAAAAAAATAAAAAAGAGTAAAACTAACTCCATGGAAACTAGGGACCTGGAATGTTAGAAAAATGACAACCGGAATGGACACTACAAACCTGGAGAAAACAGAGGACATCAGAAAGACAGCAATTATAGACAGGGAGCTAACTCTGGTACCATCGGGGAAAGAAATTACACATTCTTCTGGAAGGGTCTTGGGGGAAGATGAGAGGAGAATCCATGGTGTGGGCTTTGCTGTACACAACAGACTGCTGAACAGGATCAGCACCCCCCAAGGTATATCCGAGCGTATCACTGTCATGGAAATGGAAACCAAAACTGGAAAGGCTCACTTCAACAGCACCTACGCCCAAACCCTAACAACAGAAAATGAGAAAAAATACCAGTTTTATGAGAAACTTCAGGATGCAATCAACAACGTCCCAAAAGCAGACCACCTGTTTCTCATGGGCGACTTCAATGCAAGAGTAGGTACTGAAAACAAAGTATGGCCCACCTGCTTTGGACCTTTTGGATTGGGAAAAATCAACGAGAATGGTCAGAGACTCTTAGAATTCTGCACAAATAACAACCCTTGCATTACTAACACCTTCTACAGTGGCAAGGGCAAACACAAGGTTTCTTGGTGCCATCCAAGATCAGGCCATTGGCACCAAATTGACTTCATCATCGTCAGAAAGAAAGATGCCAACATGGTAAAGCAAACAGGATCCTTCTACAGTGCAGACTGCAACACAGACCACCTTTTAGATATAGCTAAGGCAAAGATACTCACAAAGAAACCCCCCCCCCCCCAAGAGCTGAAAAACAAAAGAAACCTTAGATCAAAATAATAAATACCAAAGACCCAGCGTTAAAGGCAAAATTTCAAGAACATGTTAAAGAAGAACTCCAACATCTAGATAGCTCATCCCCAGACAACATGTAGAATACCATGAGATCAACGATTTATAATTCTGCGTCGATTACTTTTGGAATAGAAAGACCTTACAAGGAGGACTGGGTTGAGGCCAGTGCATCAACACCAGAGAGTAAACCCTCTCTGATCAACACTCGCACCTCTACTCGAGAAAAAGCGTAAGATTCTGATAGAACACAACACAAAACCAACAGAGAGTACAAGGCAAAAACTACGTGCTGCTAAATCCAACCTTCAAAGAGAAACCAGAAAGTATGCCAATCAGTACTGGGACAAGTTATGCTCAGATATTCAACAGGCCAGCGATACAGGTAACATCAGGAAAATGTCAGAAAACATCAGAGTTGCTATTGGACCAACAGCAAACAAAGTGGCACCTCTAAAGTCTGCGACAGGTGAACAGCTGATAGACAAGAAGAAATAAATGGAAAGATGGGTGGAACATTATTCAGACTTTTACTCAGAGGAGCGACATGTTGATAGACAGCTACATGAGGCCATTCCTCAGCTCTCCGAAATGTCAGAACTTGATACAACACGAACAGAAGAACTCTCCTCTGCAACCGATGAACTCGCTTGCAGAAAAGCAGCAGGAAATGACAACATACCTGCTGAAGTGCTGAAAGAGAACAAAGAGACCCTCCTCCCATATCTCTGCAAGCTACTATAAACGACTTGTTGGCTGAAAGCAGAAATTCCACATGACATGAGAGATGCCAAAATCACCACACTCTACAAAAACAAAGGGGACAAAGGAGATTGCAACAACTACAGAGGTATCTCACTGCTAAGCATCACTGGAAAAGCTTTTGCTAGGATCATCCTGAAGCGACTTCAGAAACTAGCAGAAAGAGTCCTACCAGAGAGCCAATGCGGTTTCAGATCAAACCGCTCAACGATGGATATGATTTTTTCTATTCGTCAGCTACAAGAAAAATGCAGGGAGCAACGACTGCCATTACATACTGCGTTCGCCGATCTGACAAAGGCTTTTGATACAGTCAGTAGGTCAGGACTGTGAATGGTGCTTGGAAAAATTGGCTGTCCCCCAATACTGTTACAGTTCATCATCTCATTCCACGAAGATATGAAGGCTACCATTCAATTTGACAGTTCAACATCAAACAGTTTCAACATCAAAAGCGGAGTAAAGCAAGGTTTTGTCTTAGCACCAACCCTTTTTAGCACTTATTTTGCTGTCTTACTGCAACACGCATTCAAAGAGTCACCAGGGGATGTCTTCCTCCAGTGGAGAACTGATGGGTCGCTTTTCAATCTTGCTCGACTCAAGGCCAAGACCAAGATCAACAAAACAACAGTGCGAGACCTTCTCTTCGCCGATGGTGCTGCTCTTGTTGCTCACAGTGAATCAACCCTACAAACAATGATGGACCACCTATCAACAGCATGCCAGGTCTTTAGCTTGGTCATCAGTGTTAAGAAAACAGTCATCCTTACCCAAGAAGGTGCAAAGCAGAGCCATAATATATGGCTGAACGACAAGGAACTTAAGACAGTGGACAAGTTCTGTTACCTGGGGTCAACCTTCATCTACAATATCACTTGATTATGCGATCAACATCAGGGTAGGGAAAGCAGCAACAACTTTTGGAAGGCTGACAAAACGAGCATGGGAAAACAAAAGTTTAACCATCAAAACAAAGATCAAGATTTACGAAGCATGTGTCCTCAGCACACTCCTTTATGGATCTGAAACATGGACCTTGTACAGCAGACAAGAAAAGTGCCTCGACATTTTCCATCTCAGATGCTACCGCAAGATCTCAGGCATTTCGTGGCGTGACAAGGTTACAAATGTTGAAGTTTTGGCACGGGCAAACCTCCAGAGCATGACAACTATCCTGTGTTTAAAAAAAATTGAGATGGCTTGGCCATGTCAAGAGAATGGATGACAACCGGATTCCAAAGCAACTTCTCTATGGAGAACTTGCCCAGTGAAAGAGACAAAGAGGAAGACCAAAATTGAGGTACAAAGACACCTGCAAAAACAGCTAATCTAAGCTTGGAGTAGATGTTAACATCTGGGAAGAAATAGCTGAGGACCGGAAAACATGGAGGAAAATTACAAAGGAAAGAACTAAAATGCTAGAGAACAGCCTCAGAAACAACCAGGCTGAGAAGCGCCGACGACGAAAGGAAAACAGCGGAAATACAGAGCTTCGATCTACGACACTAACATGTAAGCACTGTGACAGAATCTGCGTTTCAAACATAGGAAGAATTAGCCGTGAAAGAAGCTGCATGAAGAAAACCTTGAGACCATCTAAAGCTAAATTGACCGCCTGCTTAGACGAAAAGAGCCATATATATAGTACTAGTTAGCACAGTATCGCATTCCGGATATTTTTTCTTTTTGGAAGGTAGGCCTATGGGGGTTGGGGGTGGGGGGGGGGGGTGGGGGTGAGTTGCAGAACAAAAGTCCTGGGGTGTTTTCACACTGATTACACATAAACCTTTTGCTTTATTTTTGAAGGTCAATGTGAAAATGATGATGCTGTTTCTTGTTCAAAATACAAGTCTAATGATTTGTCATGCCTTGATTATTATACAATAGGAAAAAATTGAAAATCTGCTTCAAGTAGATCCTCTCTCGTTTGGTAATGAACTATCAGTGCGCGGTTGGTGGGCGCCATTGGTCTTGCTTAAGAGCCTGTACTTTTTCCTCAATGTTTCTAATTGTTTTTCTTATTTTTCTAAGATATGAATCGTCGTTATCATATCGATGTTCTTCTCTTTACCTATGCCAAACCACAACATTTATCTGGGAAGCGTACCAAAGAGACTAGGAAGATTGGGTGGGGGACAAAAATTTAATTGGGTAATTAGAAAAGCAAAGATGACCTTCTTGTAACAGAGGAGTGTCTCGAATCGAGCTCAAGTTAAGTCAGTCTGCAGACATTTTTTTGGAATAGGCTATTGTGCAGGATTGTTGACAGAACAATGACTTGGAGACGACCGAGTGAGACAACTATAATATATTATGAGAGAAGTGCAAACCTCCGTGAACACTTGCCTTCAGGGGATCTTTCAATTATATGTTAGCCCAACACTGTCAGAAATTCATATTTAATCTAATACATGGACACCACACCTGGCAATGTCGAAGAATTACAATGGCTAATTTCAATAAAATGAGCCCTGAAGAACAGAAATATCTCATGATTACCTAAAATGAAATAACAGTTCTGAAAGGTATATGTGTGGTCAACACGTCTATACGGATGTGAATGCTGGCTGGATAATCACTGAAGACATGAAAATAAAGTAGAAGCAACAGAAATGGTGCTTTCTTAGCAGACTGCTGAGAATTTCAGTGAAGGAAAAGAAACACGATGAGTTAGTACTTGAAGAAGCGCACGTGGACGCTTGCTGATAAAAAAACAATTGTTGAAACGTGGGACGAACAAGGGAAATGGGAAATGCTTGAGTCTACTTTATAGAGACTTCCTGGTAGGTGGCTAAAGGAGGGAGACAGAGGTAGAAAGAGAGAGAGAGAGAGAGAGAGAG